AACTGCCCTAGCCAGCGGATCTACTGGCCCTGACTATTCCAGAATGCTCTACTTTGGGACTGCTGTCAATGTTGGGAACCCCACCACAGTTGAAACTGACTAGAACTGGGAGTGGGGGAGTACCATACTCAGAGAAACAGGGATCTTAGAACAAAGTGCTTTTTCTTTTTAGCTCTACCTTTATTTTTATTTGTCTTCTCAGCATTTTAACTAGTAAAATCAAATATAATGAAAATCAGTTGGGGCGTGGTGGCTCATGCCTGTAATCCCAGCAGTTTGGGAGGTCAAGGTGGGAGGATCACTTGAGCCCAGGAGTGCGAGACCAGCCTGAGCAACATAGTGAGACTCTGTCTCTACCAAAAAAAAAAAAACAAAACAAAGCAAAAAAAAAATTAGCTGGGTATGGTGGCGCTTGCTTGTGGTCCCAGTTACTCAGGGGGCTGAGGTGGGAGGATCGCTTGAGCCTGGGAAGTTGAGGCTGCAGTGAGCTGTGATTGTGCCACTGCACTCCAGCCTGGATGACAGAGTGAGACCCTGTCTCTGGGGAGAACAAAATGACATTTACAAAAATAGAAAATATTCCCCCTGATGACACTTTAACCACAAGATTAGAAGCCCTACATCTTTGGTAGGTGTGAAAATAGCTTGGATAATTAAAATTAGGCATAAATAAATTCCTGATGTCTTTGAGAGTTTGAGTCATTGGATGATACTGTGATAGAGGAGAATCTGGGAGATGTTGAGGCGTCAGGATCTTTTTCATTTGAAGCTAAATGGCCTCAATTGGGTGGTTTGAGCTCTCTTGTTTTGTTTGTAGATTTCCTGTCTCCTTCCGCTTGTTAATAGACCACTGATTTCTCTGTGCTCCTGCTTGTGATAGTGTGCCCCTTTCCACTTTTAATTTTTCTCTTCTGTTTTATTGTGAGGGGAGTAAACTGCAGTATTGCCATTCCCCTGCTTTCGTATACATGTGAATGAGCGTGGGAAAGCTGAAAGACTTTAGCACATTTGGGGAAGGGGATAGCCCAGGGCTCCTTTCCTGAAGAACCAAAAATATTTGAACATTTCCAATTCTGCTTTGTATTTTACACATAGTCCTTGACATATTTCTGACTCTTTTTCACCTGCATTAAATTTCTTTTTGGATGCAACTTAGTCCTGTGACTATCTAAGGGTTTAGCCTTTCCACATACCCAGCAATTTCTACTTTCCTCTTAACTGTATGCAGTTCATACAGTGCCTATGCCAGCACTAGCATTTTCATTTTTTTCTAAAACAGTACAAACAAAATGCATTAAACCAGATGTAAGCCAGGCGGCTTTGAGGCCCACAAAGCTGGTTCCTCCATCTCTGGCCCACCTTGGCTCTACCATGAGATAGTTCTGTCTCTACCAATGACCGTAAACCATGCAATAAAATGTAAAAATTGCCCATGTGATGTGGACAGACCTAAAGATGCCGAGCTCTGCAAACTGAACTTTTTCCCATGCTAAGGTCTGGATTCTGGGTTCCTTGGGAAGTACTGAGAAGTGTGAATCTGGCATTGAAGGTCAGTTTAAGGGTGTGTTGGAAATTGCAGGTATGGATATATGGAGTCACCATGGCCATGGCTTCTGAGCGAGGACGTGAAGGATTCTCTTAGGAGTAAAGCCGATGTGCTTTGGGATCATTCTCAGCTTCAAAAGCTTCTTTTCCCTCCAAGAACCCTACTGGAGTCTGGTTGAGTGAGGAGACTAAACAGCTAACCTTCATTTATGTGGAGGATGTGTACAAATGTCAGAAACATGATGAGCAGTGTTTTGTGCCCAGTGACTGAGAACGGATGTGGCTCCCAGGCAGTGGAGACGGTGGGTGTTTGGCGGTGATGATTTGCATAGGGTAGAGCTGGCCTTTGCAGGGCTGATGGGATTGGGGTACAAGAGGGGAAGAGGAAGCCTCTCCACAGGTCCAGGAAAGACCGAGAACAGATTGCTTAGACTGGAATGAGTGTGATGTTTTGGAAAGCAGGTGAACAAACTCATTTGCCTGGAAAAGAGATTGTGTGTGTGTGTTTAGGGGGGGAGTGGTGGGGGGTGCAGGGGGGCCAGAAGCTTTGTATGGGCTTGGCTTGGGGAGGACTTTTCACACCAGCCCAGGGGGTTTGCTCTAGCAAACTCAGTGCTGTGAATTTCTTCTTTTTTTCTTTTTTTGAGGATGGAGTCTTGCTCTGCCGCCCAGGCTGGAGTGCAGTGGCACAACCTTGACTCACTGCAACCTCTGCCTCCCGGGTTCAAGTGATTCTTATGTCTCAGCCTCTCGAGTAGCTGGGACTACAGGTGCACACCACCACACCCAGCTAATTTTTGTATTTTTAGTAGAGACTTGGTTTTGCCATGTTGGCCAGGCTGGTCTTCAACTCCTGACCTCAGGTGATTTGCCCGCCTCGGCCTCCCAAAGTGCCAGGATTACAGGTGTGAGCCACCATGCCCAGCCCAATGCTGTGCATTTCTGCATGGAGAGCCACTGTGCTTGGGGAAGGGTCTTTGGACATCATTGTCTCCACCCAAGTGAGAGGATGATCATTGGCAGGATGAGGGATCATGGGATTGTCCAGGATGAAGCCGACCACCTCGCTGAGGATGCTGATTGTCCCCAGATGAGGCTGAGATCGCTCCTGGGTGGCCCTGGCCTCATCCTGACATGCAGGAACCATGCTTTTTAGCCAACAAGAGCCAGAAAACACTCCTTGCTGAAAAGTTACCACCAAAAAACGCCAGTGTTACACACCTCCAGATACTTCCCCTCTGATGATGAAAGAGGAGCCAAGATTTATTCGGCTCTCCTTTGGCTGATCTGAGTGCGGTGGTGTTTACAACTAATTGATCACAACCGATTACAGATTTCTTTGTTTCTTCTCCTCTCCCACTGCTTCACTTGACCAGCGTTTTTAAAAAAAGATGTGATCAAATAGATTCTGGAACTGAATAACTCCTCTGAAATGATTTATGACTGAAGTAATGTTACTCACCAACAACTTTCTCGGGAGAAAAACATCATTTGATATTGGTAAAGTTTAGAGTATTCATGATCCCTGGTCCATAAATATTTTGGAATGATAATTAGGAAAATACATCTAGACATTCTCAATGCTGTTATTGAAAATCATGCCAGAATTTGACTCCGCAGTGCTATAAGGATGGGTTTCTCACCTATAACTGTTTACTTTGTCTTTTTTTGGAAATACGGTCTTGTCTTGTCACCTAGGCTAGAATGCAAGTGGTGTAATCATTGCTCACTGAAGCCTTGAACTTCTGGGCTCAAGCAATCCTCCCACCTCAGCCTCCTGAGTATCTGGGACTATAGGCGTGGGCCTAGCTAATTTTTTGTATTTTTGGTAGACGTGGGGTCTCACTATGTTACCCAGGCTGGTCTTGAGCTCCTGGGCTCAAACAGTCCTCCCACCTTGGCCTCCCAGGTGCTGGGATTACAGTTGTGAGCCACTGCACCTGGCCAATATTTGTTGATTAAATGAGATCATGTATGTAAATGTGCTTAGAATGTACCTGTGCATGGGCATTTTTCATTTTTCTCTAGAGGCTTATTTATGAATATCATTACATTAGTCTAGCAGCAATTTGCTCAGAACTCAGTTGTTGTTAAAGTAGAATTTTTTTTTTTTTTCCGTGGTTGAGTCCCATTCAGGATGATGCAAATCATGCACAACAGTCTGCTGTTACCTGCTTGACTGGGACCCTTGGTATGGCACACCATTCCCGACTGGTAAAGGCATTGTGCTGCCGACATCAGTTCCAGGATGGGACAAACTGCATACAGTAGGCTCATCTTGTGATGTAATTTCTTGAGTGCGTCGGGTTTGGTGGATATATATGGCATATTTCACCTTCTGTTTATTTCTGTTTTTATATTGATTCTAACTTTTTAAAACCATGTGTTTAAAATGAAGATTAAAGCTAGTGTTGTTCTGATTGTGTTTGTCAATTTCTGAATGCCCCTGGGGAGAGACAGCCTTGTTGTCAAACCAGTTTGGGGAAATCACATGTTTAAAATTCATACTGGTCTCATGGGGCTTGGCTGTGGTTGTGTCACTTTCTCAGGTCCAGGGACAGAAGAAGTGGGAGGATTGACTTAGTGAAATGTAGGTGATCGGATTCCCATGCATAGCAGTCAGTGTGCATTTATAGAGACAGCCCAAGAGATAGCTGCCCAGACTCAGACAATTATAGGTGTGTCTCGTTTTGTGTGACAGCTGCAGTCCTAACACTGTCTTGTCAATCAGTATGATCATGGGGGATCGGGGAGGGGGGAGCTCTACTTTTAAAAATCCATCTGAAAACTCTTTATCTCTCTTGTCAAGCCCAAATTTCCTTAATCAGATTTTCTTCAAGGAGAGATGCCTGTAGACAAGGTGCTTTTGTTGTTTTTCTCCAGAAAAATAAAAAAGACTCTGAAATTTCTGATTCCTACTGTATAAGAAATATAGGAAGTATTTAGTGGGGGTCTCATTGTATTGTTACCTTGCTTGGCTCTTTGCATTTGGCCAATGGTTGACGTTTATTAAACTCATGACCACTGGTAGATAAAAATATTGGAAATACATTTTATATAGATTTAAGCCAATGTTCATGTGTAATGTATGGAAACTGAAAGTTGTGAGGGGAACATTTCTCAGGGAATGAGAACAGAGCATAGGTGCTCTCTGATTTTTCTGGAAGAGCTACATTCCATTGTCCTCACCTCATTAAACATACTGCTTGGAAGAAGATGCTTGTTTTACCTGTTTTGTTAGTAACCGAGTATCTCTTTTGCTCATATTTAAAGTTGCGCTTTGAGATAGTAATGCTTCTGATTGCGAGTGTACTAATACAGTTATTTAGGCAAAGCTGGCGAATTAATTTTCCAACCAAATATTTGGAGCAAAAGCAGTCAATTAGATAAGATAAAGCAAACTTATACAAAACTGACCTGACTTTCAAATTTGTTTTCATAATTTTATTTTGCAGGATAACAAAGCCATTGACCTTTGCCGATTGTGTTGGGGATGAACTTCCTTTAGGATGGGAAACTGTATATGATAAACAAATTGGAGTTTATTACATGGACCACATAAATAGTAAGTAGTGTGCAAAATCTGTGGCATTATATCAAAGATGCCAAAAACTTTTTGTAGAGTGAAACAATCGTTACCTTCCAATGCAGCATTAAATTGGGTTTTTTTTTTTTTTTTTTTGAGACGGAGTCTCGCTCTGTCGCCCAGGCTGGAGTGCAGTGGCGCAATCTCGGCTCACTGCAAGCTCCGCCTCCCGGGTTCACGCCATTCTCCTACCTCAGCCTCCCGAGTAGCTGGGACTACAGGCGCCCGCCACTGCGCCCGGCTAATTTTTTTTCTATTTTTTAGTAGAGACGGGGTTTCACCATGGTCTCGATCTCCTGACCTTGTGATCCGCCCGCCTCGGCCTCCCAAAGTGCTGGGATTACAGGCGTGAGCCACCGCGCCCGGCCTAAATTGGGTTTTATAAATGTAATCCGAAGTTTCCATTAGCTCAGTTCTTCACAAAGTGAAGCAGTTCTGTAGCTGTACCTTGCTTGTGTCTTGCTGGGGACTACATATAATATGTTTAATGGAGGGTTTTAATAACTATTACAAGGACTAAATTTCCCAGCCAGTCTGGAAATAGAAATACCTCTCATAATGAAAAAATTATTTATTGCAGAGTGGAGCTGACAGGTTATTGAAATAAGTGCCCAAGTGATTAGCTTTACTTCATTTCATCTTATACATTTAACTTTAGCTTTCATACACCAAACCTTTGTGATATCTCTCTCTCTCTCTCTCTCTCTCTCTGTGTGTGTGTGTGTGTGTGTGTGTGTGTGTGTGTGTGTGTGTGTGT